CTTCCCCTGCTCACACACATGCACACACACACACACACTCTCAAATAAATAAATAAATAAATAAATAAATAAATAAATAAATAAATAAAATAAAGTTCTGATAGAAAGGAAAAAGAAAGTCATCCATAAAGAGTTATCCTTTGTTCTATTTCTTCTATTTCTAGACAGAGTGTAGCACAACTGAAAAAGCATGGAGGCTTGCAGTGAACTCATAATTCAGAGAAGACATTTCGTGAATATGGGTAATGAAACTTGCCCTTTCTTCAGCTTCAGCCTCCCTTTCCTATAGATGAGCACTATGAGAATATTTATCAACACTGTGACTTTGAAAAAGCTATAAAAAAGTAGTAATTTAAGAAAAAGTATTTATAATTAAAAATTATCAAAATGAAAGGCATTTTGAGAGGCAGTGAACAACAAATTAGAAACAAAAACAACAAAAAACGTAGAATGCAAATTTTAGGAAGTCTGCTGTACCTTCAGAAATCCTCCCACCCAGAACACAACAGGAGTTCATGAAAGAGAAAATAATACAGAAAACAGTAACTAAATAAACTAACCCAATAAAAAATAATTCAATTAGGAAACTAAAAAGTATACATCCTGTTGCAGACTAAGCCAATGAAAATCCCACATCTAGATAAATTCCAGTGAATTTTAATGTTTCATGTATAAAGAAAGAACAATGTAAGTATTCATACAGAAATCATATGTATATTCTTCTGACTGGCTATTCATTAGGCGTAGATTTTTGTTCACCTTAATCATCTTCATTAATGAGTAAATGTAATGAAATTCCCACTAAATCCTGTAAGGTTTTTCACAGATTTTGATAAAGCGATCCTAAAGTTCAAGTGGAAAGCAAAGTGACAAGAATAAAGAACAAGTTCTGGGGATAAGAGTAACATATTAAGACTGTTATAAAGGTATGAGCAAAATCATTGTAGTACTGAAACAAAAATAGAATAAAAGAGATCAAAAGAATGGAAAAAATCACCAGAAACAGATGCATGCATATATGGAAACTTGACATAAAACAAAGGTAGAATTTGAAACCAGTAGAGACCAACAAACTATCCAATAAATGACAGTAATACCTTGATTTTCATATGGAAAATAAATAAAATTAGGTTCTTAGCTCAAAACCAACAAAAGTATCTACTCTGTGCTTACTGTTATTACAATAGCAATAGCAATAAAAACTAAGCTATCAATATCTTTTAAAATAGTATTTTTATATTGAAAAAATTATTTACATTAGTATGCATACTGTTTGAGCAAATATATGTGTACTATTATGGTGACAGCAAAAAATTGGAAACCACTTAAATATACATTGCTAGAGAACTAATGAATTATAGTACCTCTTCAAAATGGAATATTAAACAACTGTGTAAATAATTAGCATTTCTCTATGTGAGAAGAGGTCTAACATATTATTAAGTAAATTAAGTAGTAGAATAGGTTTAAAACTACTTTATTTGAGAGTATAACTGGAGGCTTATTGTGGAGCAATGGGGAACTTCTAATTTTTCACAACTCAGATATTTTTTAGTTCACATAACTGCCTTTACAATAAATAAACAAATCTAGGGATAAATAATTTGTATGAGATTTTCTTACTTCCTTACCCACTGTCCCACCCACGCTGTCTCAATTCCACCTTTCAAGGAATCAAACAGCAAAGGCAAAATTTGCAGGGCAAACACTTACGTCTTAATTCCAACTTGAGCAGACATCTAATTCCCAGTGCCAATGCAACATTTGAGCTGAGACAGGCAGCCACCTTCTTGGTGAGGGTCATCTGCCCGTAGAATTGAGTAATGGTATTAAATGGAAAGAAACTGGCAAAATATAGGAGACTTCCAGCAGAAGCAGCTAAACGGACTGAAAATAAGGAAATTATAAGGTCACTCACTCTAAAGCAATATGCAAAATAATGAATAACTTTTTCTACTATAGTATAGGGAATAGAATGTAAGCTCTATGAGGGAAGAGTATTTGTCTTTCTTTTTCATCCTTGTATCACCAATGTCTGGCACACAGTATGTGTTCCCTGAATACGTGTTAAATAAATGAATTAATTAACAGTTAATGTATAGGATATTTACAATCATTTAAACAAAGATTTATTCATGAGCACTTGGCTTGAGAAGTTATAAATGCACATCATTATTAAAATTATTAATAATTATTAGGGTTTCCAGAGTTTGAAGCATTGGGTAGAATAAAAAGCTCTTTATGAAGTTTTAAACATATGCTTCCAATCTAAATCATGATGCCCAAAATAAAGAACAGTTGAATAAATTGCTAACTACTGAGAGTTGGATGTGGTTAGGTCCATAAGCATAGGATTCTATAGGCTAGAAAAAGAATTCTTGTTAAGATTATCACTGAGACGACATAAAATCAACATTGATGAAGAAAGTAAAAACACTCAAATCATGGTCAACTAATCTTCGACAAAGCATGAAAGACTATCCAACGGAAAAAAAAGACACTCTCTTCAACAAATGGTGTTGGGAAAACTGGACAGCCACATGCAGAAGAATGAAACTAGACCACTTTCTCAAACCGTATACAAAAACAAATTCAAAATGGATGAAAGACCTCAATGTGAGACAGGAAACCATTGAAATCCTAGAGGAGAACACAGGCAGTAACCTCTTTGACCTGGGCCATAGCAACTACTTGCTAGACATATTGCTGGAGACAAGGGAAACAAAAGCAAAAATGAACTATTAGGACTTCATCAAGACAAAAGGCTTCTGCATGTTGAAGGAAACAAAATTAAAAGGCAACCTATGGAATGGGAGAAGATATTTGTAAACAACATATCTGATAAACGATCAGTATCTAAAATCTATAAAGAACTTACCAAATTCAACACCCAAAAAACAAATAATCCAGTTAAGAAATGGGCAGAAGACATGAATAGACATTTGTCCAAAGAAGACATCCAGATGGCTAACAGACACATGAAAAGATGCTCAACATCACTCAGCATCAGGGAAATACAAATCAAAACCATGATGAGAAACCACCTCACACCTGTCAGAATGGCTAAAATTAATGGCACAGCAAACAACAACAGATGTAGGCAAGGATATGGAGAAAGGGAAACCCTCTCACACTGTCGGTGGGAATGAAAACTGGTGCAGCCCCTCCAGACAACAGTATGGAGGTTCCTCAAAAAGTTAAAAATAGAACTATCCTACAACCCAGCAATTGTACTATTAGGTATTTACCCAAAGGATACAAAAATACAGATTCAGAGGGGTACATGAACTGTTCATAGCAGCATTATCAACAATAGCCAAACTATGGAAAGAGCCCAAATGTCTACTGACTGATGAATGGATAAAGAAGATGTGGTGTGTACACACACACACACACACACACCCACACACAAATAGTGGAATATTACTTAGCAATCAAAAAGAATGAAATCTTGCCCTATGCAATGATATGGATGGAACTACTAAATGAAACAAGTCAGAGAAAGCCAATACCATATGACTTCACTCATGTGGAATTAAGAAACAAAACAGATGAACACAGGGGAAGGGGGAAAGAAAAAGAGAGGGAGGCAAACCATCATAAGAGACTCTTAACTATAGAGAACAAACTGAGGATCGTTGATGGAGGGAGGTGGGTTGTGGATGGGCTAAATGGATGATTGGTATTAAGAAGGGCACTTGTGATGAGCAGGGGCTGTTATATATAAGTGATGAATCACCAAATTCTACTTCTGAAACCAATATTACACTATATGTTAACTAACTAGAATTTAAAAACTTGAAACAA